TCAATCCGTCTCTCTCTGGATCTAATAAATGCTCCGTTTGCCCTTTGCATGTACATTTCATCTGGCTTAGGTTGGAGGTTTAGTATTTTTGTTCGTCTTCTACTGAGGGATTCGGTTTATTCAAGAATCAAGGATTGTTATTGTCTTTCACATCACATGTGGTACATATGGTGGAACGAAACTATGTGCACAGGGTCCCAGTTGCATCCAACAAAAATACAAATTGTAAAGAAAACCGTGATAAGATCCGAGTCATGAACTAAGAATATACTCAATTCACTAAACTAAGAATACACTAAGTACTAATGGTACAAAAACATTGCACCAAAACAGCAGCACGAACATGAGTCTGTGTGAGCAGACGAGGACGAATGCACACAGCAACATGAAATAATCAGCAACATGAGATCAGTGTACACAACCATCTCCTTCGTCTTCTTCACATTGATGTGAAGGTTGTTCTTCCTGCACCAGCTCTCCAGGTGTTCTCACGAATCCTCATTCAGTTTCATCAATAAGTGGATCCAAGACAATTTAAATCCATTTCACAAGTATAGAAGCAAATATCTTGTAGTCTGTGTTCAGCAAAGAGATTGGACACCAATTATCGATCAGTAACGGGTCCCTTTTAGGTTTAGGGATCATCAGACCTGGAGTTGGTGTGGACGGTAGAGTTCCTCGTTCTATGCTTTCTAGAACTGCTTTGAGTATGAAGGAGCCAAGTCTTCCATAAATGTCTGATAAAACTCTGCACACAGGCCATCACCTCTGTATTAGATATGAGATGCTCACTGGCAGAGGTGACCTCCTGTAGGGTTATTGGACCATCACATATTTCCTGTAGCAGTGTTTCCTCTACCATTATACAAGCGGGGCACACCGCCCCGTCAACAGAGCCGAGCGCCCCGTCTACCGAACCCCCCCACCCCCCAACCACCTGTCGGCACTGACGTAACACTAAAGTAGCAGCTCGCAGCGCAGGTGCACTAGCTAAAAAGCTCAAGGCAGCGTCTTCTCTCACGCTGACAGCCCTCACACACACACACACACACACACACACACACACACACTGTAAAACTGTCTGTATAAACAGTGTGCTGCACAGCTGAGGACGTGTCCCCCCCCCCACACACACACACAAAAATCAGACTAGACGAGTGCCCTGCCATGGCAAGTTATCTTGGGGAAACACTGTGTGGGTTATTGGACCATCACATATCTCCTCATCTTCACTGAGATGTTTAACATCACTCACAGAACTGAGAAATAAAGTTGCTGGTTGCTGACAGTACTTCTACAGCACATCTCACCACTGTCCTGCTGTCCTCATACACGTCCTGCTGTCCTCATACACGTCCTGCTGTCCTCATACACGTCCTGCTGTCCTCATACATGTCCTGCTGTCCTCATACACATCCTGCTGTCCTCATACATGTCCTGCTGTCCTCATACATGTCCTGCTGTCCTCATACACGTCCTGCTGTCCTCATACATGTCCTGCTGTCCTCATACATGTCCTGCTGTCCTCATACATGTCCTGCTGTCCTCATACACGTCCTGCTGTCCTCATACACGTCCTGCTGTCCTCATACATGTCCTGCTGTCCTCATACACGTCCTGCTGTCCTCATACACGTCCTGCTGTCAGATGCTTGTTCTAAATCCACAAAGACACAATGGAGTTCTTTCTGACCATCTCTGTTCTTCTCCATCAACATCCTAAAAACAAAGATGGCGTCTGTGGTGCTCTTTCTCTTTCTCTTCATGAAACCATACTGCTGCTCACAGATAGTCACCTCTCCTCTAAGTCTTGCTTCCACAACTCTCTCCCAGATCTTCATCATGTGGCTCATCAACTTAATTCCCCTGTAGTTGCTACAACTCTGTACATCACCCTTGTTCTTAAAAATGGCCACCAGCACTTCTTCTCCATTCCTCAGACATTTTCTCAGCCTCAAATATGCCATTGAATATTTGAGTCAAAAACCTCACTGCCATCTCTCCAAGACATTTCCAAACCTCCACTGGTCATCAGGTCCTACTGCCTTCACCTTCTTCATTCTTTTCAGAGCTTTCTGGACTTCTCCCTCACTAATCTTTCCCACATCCTGGTCCACAGTTTCTATGACCTCTACTCTTCTTTCGTTCTCTTCATTCATTAGCTCCTCAAAGTTCTCCTTCCATCTTCCCGTCACACTCTCCTCACTTGTTACAACATTACTATTCCTATCTTTAACAAGCCTAACCTGCTGCACATCCTTTCCAGCCTGATCCCTCTGTCTCTCCATTCAGTACAAGTTCTTCTCATCCTCTTTAGTGTCCAGCGTCCCATACAACTCATCATACACCTTCTGCTTTGTCTTAGCTTCCTCCCTCTTTGCTCTCTGCCCCCCCAACATCAGGCAGACCACCTCCCTTCCTCACTTCAAATCTCTGCTAAAAACACATCTGTTCTCGCAGACATTTCACACAGTGTGAGTTGATTTAGTGTTTTTGTTTGTTTGTTTGTTCTTTGTTCCTGTTTTGAAGTGCTTTTTATTAATTCTTCAGTATAATCATTAGTGTATGGTATTTTTTCATTAATTTTACTCCCATTAATGTTGTTGTTAAGCACGTTGATAACAGTTTCTGTTTTAAATGTGTTCTATAAATAAAGTTGACTTGACTTCTCTACGTCCCATCTCCTTATCTTCCTGTCTCCTCTCTTCAGTCCTCTCACTGTCTTATTTCTTCTTGGCTAACCTCTTTCTTTGAACATCTTCCTGCACTTCACTATTCCACCACCAGGTTTCCTGATCATCCATTCTCTGTCCAGATGACACACCAAGTACCTTCCTACCTGTCTCTCTAATTACTGTTGCTGTAGTAGTCCAGTCATCTGGAAGCTCTTTCTTACCACCCAGAGCCTTTAACAGCTCCTCTCTGAACTTCTCACAACATTCTTCCTTCCAAAAAAGTTCAATCTGGTCCTCTGGACATTAAAAAAAAACAAAAAAACAAAACATACATTACATTAACTTACATCGGGGAAACTAAACAGCCACTGGCCAAAAGGATGGCCCAGCACAGAAGATCAACTTCATCAGGCCAGGACTCTGAGGTCTACACTCATCTCCAGGCCAGCGGTCACTCTTTCAGGGATGAAGATGTTCACATCCTGGACAGAGAGGAACGATGGTTTGAGAGAGGAGTAAAGGAGGCCATCTTTGTGAAAAGACACCGTCCATCATTAAACAGGGGCGGAGCCTCCAGGTTCAACTGTCCCCCTCTTACAATGCTGTGATTGCTAGTATCACTCAGCCCTCTGTGAATAGTAAACAGCCATCAGGTGCTAATGATCCATTGTTAGGCTGATGGTCCTTCTTGACCATGTGATCAGCTGGTTCTGGTTGTCAGCAGCAAACTGGTTGATCCACTCTGAGAAGGTGCTATTTAAGAAACTGAGCTGAATACAGCACCTCACACTGAGGAAGTCCTCAGGATGTTTCTATATATTTTTTTGCTTTGTTTTGTTTTTTTGAATGTCCAGAGGACCAGATTAAACTTTTTTGGATTTTTCTACCTGGATTATTGAGCAGCATCAGGATAACATTCTTCCTTCTTCATCTTCCACCATTTGGTCTTCTCTGATTTGACTCTTTTTCTCTTCTTCACAACAGTCATTCTACACACAACCATCCGATGCTGTCTGGCCACGCTCTCCCCTGCCACAACCTTACAGTCTCCAATCTCCCTCAGGTTTCCTCTTCTACACAGAATGTAGTCGACCTGCGTACTCCTTCTTCCACTCTTATAGGTCACTCTATGCTCCTCCCTCTTTTGGAAACAGGTGTTGACTACAGCCATTTCCATTCTCTTGGTAAAATCCACCACCATCTGTCCTTCCTGGTTTCTGTCCTTGACACCAAACCTACCCATCACTTCCTCATCCTCTGTTTCCTTCACCAACATGTCCATTCAGGTCTGCTCCCATCACCACTCTCTCCTCCCTGGGAATACTCTCCATCACTTCATCCAGATCTTTCTCCTCCACATCACATCCAACCTGTGGAGCATAACCACTGACAACATTCAGCATCAGACCTTCTACTTCTACCTTCAGACACATCACCCTATCTGACACTCTTTTCACCTCTACTACATTCTTTGTCAACTCCTCCTTCAGGACCCCCCCCCCACCCCATTCCTCTTTCTATCCACACCATGATAAAACAGTTTGAACCCTGCTCCAATGCTGTGAGCCTTGCTGCCCTTCACTTGGTCTCTTGGACACATAAAACATCTACCTTCCTTCTCAGCATCATGTCAGCCAGCTCTCTACCTTTGTCATTTTCTGTGTCGGACCTTAATTAACAAAAAACACTTAATCCAGGTACATTGATCGTTTAAACCTGGTCATTTATTTCAGACCTCTGGTCAGAGATGAACCTGCTCCACATTTCATCATCTTTGATAATGTTTCACATGTCTGTTAGCAAAATAGCTCATGAATCACTGGATGGATTTGAATAAAGCCTTGGAAAGTAACAGCTGGATATTTTTAAACTGAAAGTATCAAACACTAAAACATCTGGAGATGTTTGCAGGTACTGAACTAAGGTTAGTTGTGGTAGTAGCTGAGAGTCATCGTCAACAGACTCTGAGGTCTAACCCTCATGACACGATCACGAGATCACACAGAACAACTCGTAAAGGCCTGTTGTAAAGTTAAATACGATGAAGAGAACCTGTCTGATGATGGTATGGTATAAAGTTCATTCATTTAAAAAAACAAAACAGTTCCATAACAATATAAAAAAGATACAAGAGACTTAAAATGAAAGGCAGCAGAAAGAAGAAAAAATTTTATTATATCTGCTCCATTTTTCAATTATTTCAATCATAATAATCTTCAAGTAACAGAACAAAACGAATAACTCTTTCTAATTTTTCTAACTCTAATACAAAACACAGTAAGCTACTGTGTGATGATGATGATGATGATGCCCCTCCTCCCTGCAGGCCCGCCCGCTCCGGCCTCTCTGTTCCAGCCTCCGCGGCGTCCCGGCCTCGGCACGGTGGGGAAACCCATCCGGCTCCTCGCCAACCACTTCCAGGTGCAGATCCCGAAGATCGACGTGTACCACTACGACATCGAGATCAAGCCCGAGAAGCGTCCTCGCAGGGTCAACAGGTGAGCGAGCGGACAGGTGTTTGTGACGGCTGCCAGCCTCGGACTCTGATGGTGTTTGTGTGTGACAGGGAGGTGGTGGACACCATGGTGCGGCACTTTAAGATGCAGATCTTTGGAGACCGGCAGCCGGGCTACGATGGGAAGAGGAACATGTACACGGCACATCCACTGCCCATCGGGAGGGACCGGGTCAGTTCTTACCTTCAGCTCACCTGAACGATACCTGTGGGCTGCTGCTCAGTCTTGTTTGACCCCTCAGGTGGATCTGGAGGTGACCCTGCCGGGGGAGGGGAAGGACCAGACCTTTAAGGTGTCTCTGCAGTGGGTCTCTGTGGTCAGTCTCCAGATGCTGCTGGAAGCTCTGTCGGGTCACCTGAACGAGGTCCCTGAGGACTCTGTTCAGGCCCTGGATGTGATCACGCGACACCTGCCCTCCATGAGGTAAAGCCCCCACCCACCCAAGGAGAAGCTGTAAGAAATGACTCGCATGTCTGACAGTCTGTGACGGTCGTGTTAACCCTTTGAGTTGGCTCCTCTCACCTTCCATCTCCAGAGATGTTCTGATCCGGATCTCTCAGGGACCGGGTTTTGTCTCACTCAGTGGAGTTTGTGTCTCAAACAGCTGATTGTTTGGGGGGGGGGGGGGGGGGGGTTGAACCTAATTTTGTTTGAAATTATCCCAAGCTGTTCTTCTTCAATCATCTCACCTTTCATTTGACCTTCACCTTCAACTGCAGGTACACTCCTGTGGGCCGCTCCTTCTTCTCCCCTCCGGAGGGATACTACCATCCTCTGGGTGGGGGCAGGGAGGTGTGGTTCGGCTTCCATCAGTCCGTCCGTCCTGCCATGTGGAACATGATGCTGAACATCGACGGTAAGCTCCGCCCCGCCCCCACGGCTCAGAAATCCTCTGTGGACAGGAGATGTTTGTACTTTCAGTTTATTTCTAAAGGCACAACAGAAGTCTCTCAGGAACTGAACACAGACGTTCACAAATAAAATAATAATTTATCAGGAACTTGTTCCTTTAGGAGGAACGTTTATGTGACGTTAAGTCTTTAATTATTGGACACATCCAGCACACGTCGAAACAGTCATGGAGCTCTGTGATTGGTTTGTGTTCCAACGAACCTGACAAGGTGTTTGTCACCTGACAGTGTCGGCCACGGCCTTTTACCGTGCCCAGCCCGTCATCGAGTTCATGTGTGAGGTCCTCGACATCCAGAACATCAACGAGCAAACCAAACCGCTCACCGACTCTCAGAGGGTCAAATTCACCAAGGAGATCAGAGGTGAGCAGTCGCTACCTGCACACACACACACACACACACACACACACACACACACACACACACACACACACACACACACACACACACACACACACACACACACACAATGACTGTCTTGTCTCAGTTGACCGTAAAGGTAATAACAATAATTATAATTATTGTGTTAACAATAATAATTATTGTTATAATAATAATAATTATTGTTAATACAATAATTATTATAACAATAATAATTATTTACACAATAATAATTATTATTGTTAACACAATAATTATATAACAGTAATAATTATTGTTATAACAATAATAATTATTTACACAATAATAATTATTATTGTTAACACAATAATTATAATTATTGTTAACACAATAATTATATAACAGTAATAATTATTGTTATAACAATAATAACAACAATGACAACAACAACAATGTGTATGTGTTGTCGTCATTGTTGTCATACAATGATGACACTGGCTCTCTGCATGTAACTCATCCACCCCCAGGTGGAGCAGTGGGCAGCTATTGGGGGGCACCCGGGGAGCATTTGTTGGTATGGTGTCCTGCTCAGAGACACCACGACATGTTCAGTGACTGCTGGGAATCAAACCTGGGACTTTGGGGTCCCGAGTCGGCTGCCCTGCCTCTAAGACAGGTGGATGGACACAGGTGTGGGCCGAGGTTTAGAAGGTGTGGAGATGAACCAGGTGGTGTTTTCTCCACCTGTATGCTGCACCTGAAGCCTGGTGGACCTCCTGTCTCATGGTTGTCCTCCTTCTGACCATGTGTTCTCGTCGAGCAGGTCTGAAGGTCGAGGTGACGCACTGTGGGCAGATGAAGAGGAAGTACCGAGTGTGTAACGTCACCCGCCGCCCTGCCAGCCACCAAACGTAAGCCTCGTCTCCCTCACCTGTCTGTCTCACCTGTCGTTGGCGTGACGTTGGCGTGCTTCGTCCACAGCTTCCCCCTGCAGCTGGAGAACGGGCAGGCCATGGAGTGCACGGTGGCGCAGTACTTCAAGCAGAAGTACAGCCTCCAGCTCAAGTATCCACATTTACCGTGTCTGCAGGTGGGACAGGAGCAGAAGCACACCTACCTTCCCCTGGAGGTGAGACACGGCCATGTCTGACAGCCCCCACAGCTGGAGTGTGTGATTAAATGGGATTAAATGTGTTTTCCCTGCAGGTGTGCAACATCGTGGCCGGCCAGCGCTGCATCAAGAAGCTCACGGACAACCAGACGTCCACCATGATTAAAGCCACGGCTCGCTCGGCCCCCGACAGGCAGGAGGAGATCAGTCGCCTGGTGAGGCTCTCTGGACAACATCAAACTGTCCCCCCTGCTCAGCGGCTCATGCAAACTTCCTCTGGAACCCCCCCACAGGTCAAAAGCAACAGCATGGTCGGGGGCCCGGACCCCTACCTGAAGGAGTTTGGCATTGTGGTGCACAACGACATGACCGAGGTGACGGGGCGTGTCCTCCCTGCACCCATGCTGCAGTATGGGGGCCGGGTGAGTACAGACACAGGCAGGGACTGTGGCAGGGTGAGTACTGGGCAGGGCTGCGTGGGGTGGGGGGGTCAGCATGGGTGTTGTCACACAATGGGGGGTGGGGGGGTGTTCCAGTGCACCGGGCTGATCTTTGATAGTTTAAATGTCTGGAGGTGATTAAAGGATCAGAGCAGAACTATTGGAACGCCTCCCCCCACCCCCCCGTGTCTTGTCCCAGCAGTCTGAACTCCACTCCTTCACCAACAGGTGACAGGTGCGTTACCTGTTCTGAACACAAACACCAGTTAGACACCCCCCCCGAAAACCAACAATGTTCCTCCAGACGAGCTCGGATCACTTCCTTGTTCACTTTGAAGGAAGTTATGATGATGATGATGATAGCTGCCAGCTGGGATGGAACAGAGAGGGGGGGCTCGACCTGTTGGTGACAGGAAGGAGCTGCTGAGATCCACCATCTGAACCTGAAACCAGACCAGACGTCTGCACCTGGTTTTCAGACTGCAGGGCTGGTTTGGTTCAGGGGTTGTGTGAAACACGATGATGATGATGCTAGCAGGAGGAAGATCAGACTGAACCTCAGATCACAGCTGCTGTTTTTGTTTACTTCATAAAACTGCAGCTTGTTGACAAATACAACTTGGACCTTTAACGAGCTCAGTTTTCCAACATTCAGTTTGTTCTGTTGCTGAGCAGAAAATGTGTTGAGAGCTGCAAACAATCAGCTGTTTGTCTCCCAGTTCTGTTCCTGGTGTGGTTTTCAGTCTGGTCAGCTTCCAGTGAAACCTTTAAATGCAGACTGAAGGGCCCAGTACACTCCATCCAGAGCCGAACAGTCGACTCGCCATCTCCTTTCATCGCCCACGAGACACGGCACAGAGCTCCTTGGAAGCCCCGCCCCCTGCAGTATATGTCACTGCAGGATGCACGATGTGTGCACGATGTGTGCACGATGTGTGCACGGTGTCCATCCAGTAGTTTTTGGACATTTGACTAATGTGTATAAAAAGTCATGCAGCAGAATGTCCGAGCACACAAACTTCCGACCAATCACACAACGAGAAAAAGTTCTGCCTGGGTGTTGTCGAGAAAGGGCGGAGCTACCTGAGAACAAACTGACGTGATTTTTGTCACGCAGCTACATCACTGCGAGTCGGTTTCCATGTTTTGGGTGGAGTTTGCAGGGCTCTTGGAGCTTCTCATGATGGGTCGTTTGAGCAGAGAGCAACACGTTTGTTGACGTGCAGATGCGTCAGAACCCTGCATCACTTCCTGTCAGACTGACATCACTTCCTGTCAGACTGACATCACTTCCTGTCAGACTGCCAGATGAAAAGCTTCAGTCTGTGATTTCACCTGTGATCTGTGCTCGCTCTAATTTCTGACACATGCAGGAGCTTCAGTTCAGCCACTTGTTCTGGAGGATGAAGCTCTTTGGGGACTCTGAAGTTGATTTAAAGTGTTTTGGGTCTAAATTTAAGTTTGAGCTTTTTCACGTTTATTATTCTAAACTGATGATAATTACCGTACTTTCCAGACTATAAGCCGCTACTTTTTCCACAGACTTTGAACCCCACGGTTTATACAACGCCGCAGCTAATTTGTGAATTTTATTTTTATATTTTATTTTGAAAGGCTGAAAATCTTCCTGCTGCCAGAAAACATTTTACTTTGACACACCTGGGCGCTCCTGTAGCTGCCCCCCCCATGGGTGTGGGTCTTTGAGACACGAACAGAGTGGACACAGCTTTTCACAACACTCATGGTTACTATCCGCTTCTGAACGGACTGACACATGAAAAGATGAACAGACTAATCAATCAAAAATCATTTAAACAGCTAACTGAAAGGATGAACAGAGAAACAAGATATTTTACTCATAATCCCACTCATTCCAGTTTTATTTCTACAGATAATCCCACTGAGCCTGGGGGACTCGTTTACAAGAGAGACCTGATTTAAACAAAGAATGATGACAACAATGGACAATCATAAAAGAAGCATATAAATTGAAATTTTTTTTTTTACAAGTGAAAATAAAATTATGTAAAAGAAAATGTAAACAATAAAAACAGCTAGATTATAAAGCGAATGTAAAAAACTAAAAACAGGAACTTACCAGATTCTTAAAGCTACAGAGAGGTCAAAGGTTGAGAGCTTCAGGTCTTTTTACAAGATATTCCAGGAAACAGGAGCGGAGTAGGAGAAGGTCCTTTTGTCTAGTTCAGTCCTCACTGAGGGAACACTGCAGGTAATGATGTCCTGAGAGTGCACGCTGTAGCTGCACTCACACAGAGACATGTAGGAGGAGATGTATGAAGGCAGCAGACCAGGAAGTGATTTAAAGATGAAGATGTACCAGTGAGAGAGTCTGTGTGAAGTTAATGGTGACCAGTTAACCAGTGAATACTGGGTGTAGTGGTGGGTACGTAGTTACAGCCAGTTATGAATCTTAGTGCACCATGATAGACAGCATCCAACATCTGCAGCATCCAACATCTGCAGCATCCAACATCTGCAGCATCCAACATCTGCAGGGTTCTTGTGGGAGCGTTCATGTAAATAATGTCACCGTAATCAATGGAGGGAAGGAAAGTCACAGATACAAGGCGTTCCTCAGGGTTCAGAGTTAGACAGGATCTGTTTCTGAAAAACAAATCCAGTTTAACTTTCAGTTTCTTTACCAAGTTTTCCACATGGAGCTTAAGAGAGATGCGAGTTGACCAAGATACCCAAATATTTATAGGAATCAACAAACTCAATGGGGACACCATTTGAGGATAAAATCGGAGGAAGAACTGCTGGGACCAACTTCCTGTTTGAAAAAAAGCATCTCTTTAGTTTTATCAGCGTTTAGGGCAAGTTTGAGGTGAAACAAATCAGTCTGGATGATCTTGAATGCAGATTTCAAAAGCTGGAAAGCCTTAGCAACAGTTTTAGCTCGACAATAAACAACTGTCATCAGCATAGAAATGTATCAGAATCAGAATCGGAATGCCCTTATTGTCATTATACGCAGTACAATGAATGCATCAGGGATGCTCTGACCTACATTACCTATGTAGATTGTAAAGAGGGTGGGTCCTAAGACTGAGCCTTGTGGTACACCATTGTTGACTGTTAAATAACTGGAGGAAGTACCATTATGTTGAACACATTGCCTCCGATCTGAGAGATAGTTAGAGAACCAACCAATGGTGTGTTCTGAGAAACCAGTTTCTGAGAGTTTATGACACAAGATGTTCTGATCCACAGAGTCAGAATCTTTAGACAGGTCTAAGAAAAGTGCAGCACAATAATCCTTAGCATCCAGTGCTTCAACAACATCATTAAGAACCTTCAGTGAAGCAGTGGTTGTGCTGTGTTGTTTCCTGAAACCAGATTGATGTGGAGGTAAGATGTTAAATGAGTCCAGGTAATCTTTGATTTGAGAGTTTATCAGTTTTTCTAGAATCTTGGCTAAAATGCAGAGTTTAGAGATTGGTCCATAGTTGTTCAGTGAGGGGGGGTCTCCTCCCTTCAGCAAAGGAAGAACAAAGGCTGTTTTCAAGTGTCTGGATGGAGTTTTGTCTTATGGAGAGATTGAAGATGTGGGTCACAGGGACTGTGATGATATGAGCAGCCAGCCTTAAGAAATAAGGTGAAAGTTCATCTGGACCTTCAGATTTTTTAGACCTTTTAACAATTTATTCATTCAACCTTTATTTAAACAGATAAATCACATTGAGCCTCGAAGACTCATTTACAAGTGAGACCAGTTTGGACAGACAAAAACAGTGGTTAACTGGACACATGTAGGAGCTGGAGGCGAAAAAAATTCCTATCAGACTTTTTTCTTGGCTGAGAAAAACCCCAATATTGAAAAAACACCTCGCACAAACAAGCACATATTTACATAGACATTCTGCAGAGCAGAGCAGGAAGAAGGAAGAGACGAGAGCGGTCAACAACGCTTATAGATGCTCTCGAGGTCACTGTAATCAGTCAATGTCCTCCGGTGAGATCCATAAACATTCTTGAGGTATGTCGAGAAATGGCCAAGAATGACCCCTGAGAATCCAGAGTCCTGAAATGATGACACAAAGTTTATTCAGCTGGTTTCATCTGGTTATCAGTTGGAAATTCCTCAGGGAGGGGGTGGTGAGCGTCAGATCACATTTTCTCCAGGCAAAATTCAGATAAGGTGGCCTTCAAGGACACCAAGGCGACCAAAATTTAGATAAACACACAGTTGTTTTGGGGACAGGCCCAACTTAATGACATCTGCTTTGAGTCTGTGTTTGGTCCACTCGATTCCGAAATGTCCAAAATAACATGGCAACACCGATGGAACATGACTGAGTAAAATGACTGAGTAAAATCCCCAAGATCTGATCCATTCAGCCCAAAGCATTTGAGTCCGGGTACTCGAGACATGAACCAAGCCATCATAAAGGCAAGCAGCGTGATCGAGTCCAAATTTGTTGCTGACGACTTCCTTGATTGTAGATAAATACCAGGACCAGCTGAATCCAAAAAGCAGGAACCAGTTATCGTGATACCAATTAAATATGCGTCCTTAAAATCCACAGATGGCAGCAGAGATAGACACATCATCAAGTCTTCCAGTCGATGAGATATCCAGCTGTGTGCGTGCCAACAGGGCAAATTGGCTCGCCTAAAGCCTGTCTTCTCTTCAAGAAATGTTGTAAATTGAGTTGAGGAACCAACTGGTCAGAACAAATCCATAATTATGGTTCGGAAGGAATGCAAGAGAGTCTCCAAAGCAGTTTCACAGACAGACAGAGCAGTAAAGCAGAGAGGGAGGGAAGCATCCGATCTCGGCTTGAGCAAGTGGTGAAGTGATTATTAACCTCACTGACTGAGAACGGGGAAAGAGAAAAGGTGGGATTTTCTGAAGATTGACTTGTAGGAGAGATATGGTTTGTAGAAGTTTAACTTTTAGAAGTGGCTGATCTACCATAAAGAACTCTGTGGTCATGTGACCAGAAGTCCACCTGAATGACCAATCAAGTACCATCTCATTGAGTCACGAG